CCATACAGCCTTGAAGTGGAAATGTAATATCTGTAAGACCATTAATATGTAAGTTGTTACTGAAAGGCATAAGGTGTCAAACTTAGTCTCACTTAAGCTGCGAAAGGGTATTTGCTAGTCGCTTGATAAGCAGCCTTCAATTTTTGCTTGTTTGTGGCTTTGAAATTGACAGTACGATGGTACGTCAATTCTAAACCTAAGCCCTCAGCTGGCTTACTACCTCGTCTGCTCCGCAAATGTTTTTGTGTTAGCTTCTGAGGCAGTGCATCGAAAACTGCAGCTTTGCATGTCACCCAAAAAAGAGGGTAGAGAAGCGTTTGTCGCCCGCATGGAGGGAGGAAAAGGCAATATTGGTGGTACCATAATCTGGCACGCCCATTGCCAATACAATGGCCCAAGCAGACCCACGCACGTGGCCCACGTGTCCAACGCAACTAAAAACAACAACAACAATAGCAACAACAGCAACAAAGATTGCAGCAACTAAGAACAAAGCTGTGCAATTTTAAATAAATGCCACAGCGGATCTGATAAAGAAATGAAAATCCGCACAATGCAGTAGTGGAAGCCACCTGAGACAATCTATGCGAGGAGCATTAACCTCGTTGCCATAGAGCCAGCCAATGGCTAACTGTAAATCGACGCTGAGATTGCGACAAAAATTTGTGCAAATATGTGAACAGTAAAACATTGAATTTACTGAAAACAATATATTTATATATATTTATAAAATAACATAAATAAGTAGATGATTGAATTCTCTTCAATATTAAGCACTTAAGCACTCATTTTCTTTTTTTCTTTTTGACCTTTTAACTTGGATAAATTTGTAGAATACAAACTTCACAGCAATATTGCAGGTTAAGAGGAACTCGGAAGTTTTCAAAACACAATATAGTACTAGAAGTTCTAAAAAACAAATTAATCTTATATGAATAAAATTTAAGAATGCTGAATTTTATATATTTTATATAAACGTGATATAATACAAATTATATTTCGTAAAATAAAACCATTTTTTAATTATGAAATATATAATATTTATATGTATTTATATTGTGTATACAATATATTCACTAATATTTAATTTGAAATTTAATTTACTTACAATGCCGAACAGGTATACGACGATTTTTATTTGATTTTGATTTGGTCTTAGGCTCTGCAGATAAATGTAAATTTGTATATGCCGTTACATATATTATATTTTGAGTTGTTTATTGTGATTGTCGACCACTGTTCGCCGTTGTTACGTTAGCCGACGTTCAGGTGCTCTGCTATGAGTCCTTTGCGTTGTTTCCTTGGCTCAGCTGTCCTTGGTGCCCAAGCAGTTGCTTGTTTTTCTTTTGCTCAACACGTCACTAAGGAGTTGACGGGCTTGATGCCTTTGTGCAATCAGTACACTACACACAGACATGTGCACACACACATGGCCACACACACACACACACACACACACACGCATGCAGAGGAAGGGAGAGAGAGAACAAAGGGATGCCGCCTTGTATGGCATCTTCTGGCAGCTGCTGCCGCTGTTTGTGTTGACGGTTCGTTACTTTACATCATGGCAAGTCCACGCTCATGACATTGCAACGGAATGCGAATGTGAATGTGAATGTGAATGCGAATGATGCAGCTCGTTGCAGAGCTGATTGTTAAATAAATTTTATATAATTTTCAGCTCTGTGTTGGGGTAGATTGTTTATTGTAAATGGCCAGTTATGAGTGCCCCAGCTGCCATTAGATAACTGCGCGGAAGTTGTTGTGGCACCACTGCCGAGGACTGCTCCTGCTGCTGCTTAGCGCTCTGGCGGTCCAGAAACAATTCCTCATAGAAATTCCTTCGAGCCATAGTGAAATGCTCAGACCATAAATCAAAGCAGCTGCAGCAAGCGTGGAGCACTGAGCGTTGAGCGTTGAGTGGAAATAAGCACTTACACACGAATTGGAATTGGAATTTGATTGCTTGAGGCCTGTTCTTGACAGAGAGTTTCAATTTTGTATTGTTTTATTTCGCATAACTGCAACTTTCCGTTGACGTCAGTTGCCGCAGACACTTTGGAGAGTTGACGCTAAAAATAAATATATTTTTGCTAAAACAAAAATCCAAAGGCTTAGAAAATCGCACGTGTGCTGAGCGATTTTCATACCCACTGAGATGAGCCTTCAGAAGGGTATAATGATTTGGTGCATGCAGGTAAATATTTTATCAGTTTATAATTTTTAAGTTATTGTGAATTATGACGAAAAGCAGAGTCCATATGAAAGTAAAAAACTGAGCTAAAATGCTATTTTCCATAATAATTTATCATTTACAAACTATTCTGCATCAACACGACGACCTGAGTCTACTTGAAATCATCTCAAAAACTACAAGATCTTAAAAATATTGAAAATTTATTCATGTTATAAGAGAGCACAGGCTGGATCAGTTTATCAGTTAAAATAAGTGCGCGAGGCCAATGCGTTCTTTTGTTCAATAATATCTAATGCATAAAAACTAACTCAATAATAGATATAATATCAATTGATGGACAGAATGCATCTGGCGAAAAGTTATTCAAAATTTAGTTTAATGCAGTGCAAAATACAGAATAAACGTGAAATATTTGTATGTAGGCATACATAAAAGGTGGGTACAGCTCTTCTCTCCAAACAGATGTCTGCATTCTAGTCAGGCACTCCCACCTAGAGTAGTCTTACTTGTTTTTGCTACACAAAAATGAATCATGAATTGACGTCAATGAGGTCTCGTA